ACTTTCACGCATTCTACGCTCTGTGACTCGGGTACACGTTCCGCCCTTGAACAGCTCCAAATCAAAGACAATCGTCCGCTCCTCTACAACTTTCAAGCTGCATTCCCTCAAGTTCCTCCGCGCACCGAGATCGTGCCATCAGCATTCTCCTGCGATCCAAGCACGAACATTTCTCCTCCAGGGATTACATTACACTTCCGCCCGCACAATGTCGACGATATCGCTATCGGACCTCGAATTTTTGACTCGCGAGTCTCTCGCCAGCGACTTCAAATCCTCCGGCAAATCGCTGCCTGAAAACACTGCAATCATCGACGTAAGAAACCCGCCAACACGAATCTTTACCTGACATACACAAGACTGACCATATGTCCCCAATCTAGGTACGAGACAGCGACCACGTCGGCGGTCACATCAAAGGCTCAACATGGGTCCCCTCGTCGCAACTCGATTACAAAACCCCCGAGCTGATCCGTACACTACAAGACAAGGAGGTCGTCATATTCCACTGCGCGTTATCGCAGCAAAGAGGGCCTAGTGCCGCGTTGAGATACTTGAGGGAGAAGGAGAGATTGGATCCGGCCTCAAAGGTGGAATCAAAGGGCGAGGTTGAGGAACAGAGTGGAGCGGTAGACAAGGAGGAAGGGGAGAAAGGACCTAGCGGGACACAGGTCAAGAAACAAAAGGTCTATGTGCTTCAGGGTGGGTTCACGATGTGGCAGGAGAAGTATGGGCAAGATAAGGATTTGACGGAGGGGTATGAGAAGGATATCTGGGAGTTTGGAACGCCGGATCATTAGAGGGCGGATGGGTGCTATTGCGTGAGAGGACCTACGATGGACTCATGTATCAGATCTTGAGGTCGGTTCCCGACATACATGAGAAAATACGGATATCAAGTATGAAATGAAGCATGGTATTCGATAACGAAGAATAAATTATAGCCAGAACGTACTAGCAACCCTTCGCGTCCGCTTGATCCTTGACCAACCCTGCGTAGTTCTGCTTCTCATAATCCATGATGGCTTGAACCTTCTTCGCACTCGCACTGCCCTTGTCAAACCGATATCCAACCCATTCCTTCACCAACCGCCTCGCAAGTTCAATACCCACAACCCTCTCGCCCATACACAGTACCTGCGCATCATTCGACAAGATGGCGCGCTCTACCGAGAAAGAGTCATGTGCCGTGACAGCCCTGATGCCCGGCACCTTGTTCGCAGAGATGGCGACACCGAGACCAGTGCCGCAGATGAGAACGGCGCGGTCTGCCTTGCCTTCCGCAACGAGCTTGGCGGCATCGACGGCGATGTGTGGATACGCGGTCTTGTCGCTGTTTTCAGGTACGCCAACGTCGGTCACGGAGGCGATGCGCGAGTCGGCTTCGAGGTCTTTGGTGATAGCTTTCTTGTACGAGACGCCCGCGTCGTCGCAGCCAATGGCTATGCGGAGGGGTTGCTGGTCTGATGACATGCTGGGTGCTGTGATGATACGCGTTGCGTGTGTGTAGGGTAGTATCAAAGTTCAGAAGTATCGTACTTCTTCTCGATGTTCCTTCTCTTCGTCTTGCTGACAACGTTCAAACGGCTTCGATCGCGTTCTTCTTCGTCGTCCTGATTTCTTGATCCGCCGCCGCTTCGTCGTTCCGTTCTGTTTGTCGAATACGATACGTGACCCTCTGCGGAATGTACTTTCCGTCCGCTTCCTTCAATGACTTCGTTGACTGCGCGATTGACTGTGTTCTCAAACGGTTTCGTCACGTAACTCAGATCCGTATGTCCGTGTGTCGGTCCTTTGCTTTCAATGACTTTAACTCTATCTGTCCCGTCCTTGCTGTGGTCTTCAACTTTCTGGTACACGTGGTCGGCGTCTGTATCGAGGTTTAGAGAGAACAAAGCGCGCTTGGGAGGGGCCATCTTCGGCGGCCGGGAGGAGGCAACGTGTTATATACGATTCGCGACAGTGGTTGGCAAAGGCAGGGGGCGTTGGGTCGGCGGTTCGGTTGAATGAGGGGTTAAACAGACGCCGTGACGCCGCAGAGGACGTGCAAAGCTGGAATCTGGATTGCGGGATGCGGGGATCGGGAGTGCCGGATGCGGTATGCCGGTGGGGTAAGAATGACAGGTTGCCTCGACGCGAGATAGCGACGGGACGAGGTAGGCCGGTCTCGGTGATGCAAGGCCGAAGTCTTGATGTTCTGTTTCGGTGTTCGCTCCGAGGGCTGGAAGTGAAGCAAGTGTAATTGAGGTGTCGCCTATCGTGCGTTGGCATCGAACAACCTCTTGGCATGAGATACATAGTCACACCGCACTCTGATATCAAGTCTGCTTTCGCTTACATTTGTTTGATTTGAATGTGTAGCCTCTATATATACTTACATCACTGTAGCTATTCTTGATTTCCTGATGTTCCACCCGTCTCTACTTCTTGTCCTCACCTCCGAACAGATCCTTCTCCACCATCTGCCTACAGATCGGATGGTAGAAGTCTTTGTTCTTCTCAAACGTGCTAACCGCCAAGTCGCGATCCGCCTCATTCAAGAGCCTGAACATGGGCCGCACAAACTTCATACGACCAATCTTGCCTAGCAAAGTCGCTGCAGGCTCGTAAGTTTCCTGTGCCTTGGCCATGAGCCCGATGTTGAGGTAGCGCGACAGAACCTCAATATTCTGAGTGTCATTGTAGCCATAAGTCGCACCAAGCAGGTGTACCTTGTCGGCTGAGAATTTCGAAGCGAAAGATTGAAGCTTCTCGAGGAAGACCACGGATTGGTTTGACACCCAGCCTTCGATATCAGAGGCTTGGGGCTTGAAGTCGTTGGATTCAGAGGAGATCAAAGCCTGCCATTTGTCTGCAAGTTCGTAGCAGCTCTTCACCATAGTCTGGTCAAAGTCTGGCTTGACAGGGAATCCCGGTGCGTAGAACAACTTGTCCCAGTCGAAGTTATCCAGCTTCTGCTTGCTCTCTGCGTCTTTCTCGAAGAACTCTAGGAGGCAGCTTTTGAAGTCGTACGAGTCGACAGACTTGAACTTAAATGTGTCGAAGTAATGGGGGATGAAGGAATCCCACTTCTTCTTTCCGAGAAGCAGCTCGAATTGGTACAGGGCGTGGAAACCTTTCTCGTACGGAATGGAAGAGAAAGCGTCATCAGGATCTTGGCCCTTGAGATCGAGAACAAGTTTGGTGTAGGGATGGTCTTCACCGTAGTTCTCGATGCTTTGCTCTAGAGCTTTCCAGCCAATGATGGCAGAGAAATGGCGATGTGCCTCTCCATGAAGAGCAGCAGCGATTCTACGTTCCAGGTACGTAGTCCAGCCTTCGTTCAACCAGAAATGCTCCCAGCTTGCTGCGCTGACCAGGTTGCCGGACCATGAATGTGACAGCTCGTGTGCGATGACGTCGACGTTTTGCTTGTCGCCAGAGATGATGGAGGGAGTGGCGTAAGTCCAAACCGGGTTCTCCATACCGCCGTATGGGAACGAAGGAGGCAGAATGAGTACATTGTACTGTCCCCACTGGTAGGCAGGCGAGACGATAGATTCGAGTGCTTTCATGAAAGGCTCGATTTCGCCGTCCAGCTCGTCTTTGCACGCAAGGAGCTCTTCGGGACCAGACCATACCGTACTGCGGGGACCGATGCTGGCACATGCTAGATCTCCACTCGCGACAGCGAAGAGATAGACAGTCATGGGGACCTTTTGCTCAAATGTGTACTTCATGGTACCGCTCTCGCCATCCTTCTTTGGGGGCAGGTAGTCACTTGCCCCGGTAGGCAGACCTGAAGCAAGCACCGGTAGGGGCGAGCGAAGAGCAAAGCTGAATGTCGATTTGACATCTGGAGTGTCCTGACAAGGGAAGACTGAACGTGCGTGGATAGCCTGGCATTGCGAGAACATGTATGGGTGTTTCTTGTTGGAAGTCTGAGCGGGCGTCATCCACTGAAGCGCGGTGCACTTATCAGTGGTTGCAACCTTGATCTCTACATCAACTGTCTTGCCTTTGGGGACCTTGGAAGGAAGAATGATGGTAAGAGGGCTGCCATACGGTTCCACGCGGTCTCCTACGTTGAACTTGACGCTTTTGCCCTCGACTTCTACAACGGAGATATCAAGAAAGCTATATTTACTTAGTAAAGCATTTCAAACATTCAATCTTGCAGAAAACGTGTACACACCTGCTGTCCAACACAACATCTTTCACATCTTCATCCGTCAAGCACTCCAACGTCAGCACCACACTTCCAAATAACCTCTTCTTCTGGAAGTCGATGTCGAAGTCTACACTAGTATGCCGTGTCACAAAGTTGTGATAGTTGGACAAAGTATTGGGATCCCTGGGCGTGCGGATCTCGATGTTCGGGTCCGCCATTGGTTTCGTTAACATGGCGGCGGGGGAGCGATGCATTGTGGCGAATGCGGCTGCTCTCGTAACTGAAGGTTTGAGAGGTCGACTTATTATCGAATGTTGCTTGGCGTATTGTCTTCCAGTCAAGGTTGGTGTTGGTGAGAGACGGACGTCTTGAGAGAGAAACGTTGCAGGTGATCGCGTGGTTTGGAGGTATCGTCGGAGTGGAGCAGCTTCATATGCCGATCTATGCCGCAGCAGAGCAGATGACCACCTGCCTAATGCGCTTCTGGCGGACATCTAGATATATCGCTCTCGCACTTCGAGTAGATAATAGGAAAAAGGCCCTCACAACGACAGTGCTGCGATAAGTCACCGCCTGTCTAGTCCGGATCCAATGTGGAGGTGCACGGCCTTCGGCGACCCGATGAAGAGCTTTGTTGTAGTTCTTCCGAACCGTCTTCGCAACCAACATCATCAGCACAAAACCGGGGACAAGGTGCAAGTCACCAAAATTTGTGAAGAGAGATGTGGGGTTGTGAATGATATATTGCAGATGCCCTGAAATGCCAAACGCTTCGATACTCAAAGCAAGCCAACATGCTATGCACGTGTCGCTACCAACACCTTGACACCTTTTATTCACACAATGCTGTCTAATCCTTCTTGCTGCCTTCCCCTTTCCGCGTCCTATCTCTCAGAACGAGATTGATGTCTGGTCGTGCTGACTGATACTGCTGTGCTGGTCTCGATACTGAGCGCTCATTCGTCGATGCAAGCGTCTCCTCTGCCCTTGATCTGCCCCTGTCCCTTTCGTCATCTCCAATCTCAAAGGCATCATCTTGGAGTTCTATGAGGTCGCCCAGGTCACCGCCGACAGCTCCCAGGACAGGTACGGCACTGCGTTTCCCCTGTCCAGGTGTACCCGGCTCATTTAAAAGCTTCTGTGCTTGTGTACCGACCTTCCTTACCCATCCTTCTATAGCACCCCCAAGCTCTTGGAAATCTAAGCCGCTGCCACTGAGCGGAGTGACAGCACCGGATCCGCCATACTGACTTGATGTTCCTGCACCTGCGTCCAACAAACCCGGCGCCCACGGTGTGAAGTATTCCTGTCCGGGTGGAGGAGCCATATTGGGCAGGTACTGAGCAAACTTCTTGTTCAGACCATCCTGCGCTGGCCCAGGGCTTCGCACATTCCTGCCCATTGTACCGACACCCCCTGGTCCTTGCAGACCCCATGCTTTGCCTGATGTACTTCTTTGACGACTGTGGGCCGAGGCGGATGACAGGTTGCTTGACGCGCGCGGTCGAACGGATTGCGAAGGTGAGCTAGTGAGCGGATTTGTGGAGGTGGACGAGCGTGGAAGGTCGACAGAAGCTCGGGGGGTAGATGCATCGGAGTAAGCGAGAGACTTTCGTCGAGCGGGTGGGAAGAAGCCGAGCGCTCTTCGTGGCATGCGGCCAATCTGTGTGGGCTGTTTGTCATTAGGCAGAAGAACCCATGAATCATGCGTCCATGGTGTCTCTGGGTCAGATGAGGGGACGGAGTCGTTCTCTTGGTCCTTCTTCTTTGGCGTGGTCCAACCGTTAGGGAGACCTTGAGTATCTGAGAGAGGAGCCTTGCTATTCGAATCTTCGCCGTACTCTCCCAGTAATAGATCTTCGGCAGGGAGGGCATCTGGGCCTTGGACTCGTTTCCCTTTTACGCCACACGCGTCTACTGGCAGCACGACTTGCTTCTTAATCTGTACACTATCGTTCGGCCACATGCGATTGGCCTTCCGTAGCACAGCTTGCTCGCAGTTGTATTTGATGCTCAGTCCCGCCAGCGTGTCCTGCGGGCGAACGTGGTGTATGTATACAAGTGCATCTCGGTCGTCGTTCTCGCTGGGAGGCGCGGAGGCGCTCATTCGTTCATCCGAATTCCTGCGCTTTATGCGGCCGACAGAGTCCGGCACCAGATGCTCACCGGCGGTCAGTAGGTCTTTGCGCTTCATCGCTCTGACCATTGCCTCTCTCTCTTCGTGTGTTCCAGCTCCGACATGCGAGCCTGCGCCTGCAGGACCCCATTGTTTCGGCGGCGGGGCGCTCGTCGACGTCCGACGCCCATGGCCCGGTTTACGTCTGCGAGTACTTTCAGACTCGCCTGAGGTACCGTCACTGGCCAGGACGGTCGCGGCAATGCCCTGAATAGCCGCCAGCGAGTTTCCCCATAGTCCGGAAAGTGTTTGCGAGGGCGATTTCGGGGTCGAGGTCCCCGAGGACCTTTGAAAAGAGGATGAAGGAGCAGAAGTGACGTTTAGACGGGACGAGGAAGCACCGCCCGTGCGTGCATTCGGGGTGGGAGATGTGTTCCGCGAGTTTAACCTCGACGTGGCCCTACTGGGTCCGCTCTCACTTCCACTCGTCGCATATATATCATCTTCCACTGAGATCAGTCTTCGGGTTCGGGGGCGCAGTGTCGAGTTGCTCTTGGACGTGGACAGCGAGGAGCCATTGGAGGGGTTCATGGCATGCGGACGCCAGGCGGAGTGGGTAACGGTGGTGCTGCATAGGCCAAGTGATTGGAGTGGTCGGGAAGCCGCATGACATGAGGTTACGGGAACATGGCGCAGACGTCAGGAGCAAGGACGGAAGCGCAGTGTCTAGGTCGCTCGGGTATCGTGAGGGTCAACAGCTGGGGAAGGAAGCTACGTAACCCCCGAGTACCACACCCCTTCATTCAAACACGCCCGTGCACTGTGCCGCCGAACCGTCAGAACGTCCCATGCCAAGTCACCTGGGCACCATGCAGAAGGCTCACGATTGATTAAGACGAATTGGATACGTAAGTAGTGGGTACTCTTCGACTTTCACCGCCCCTCCGTGACTTCTCAAACTGTCTGGGCGCCGTGTGACGATAAGGCCAGATAACGACTAGCTTCAGGCCAGAGCTGACTCGGTCACCCCATGCATTCACGACATTACTTCATGGTTTGAGTACCGATCGTGCATTGTCATGTACTATAACACTACTACGTAGCGACACGCAAACAAACGCCATGTGCGTGTATTAAACCCACGGATATCATCATCAGTCGTCATGGTCGACAGAACGAGAAACAGTAAAGACACACTATCGAATAGAACGAAGCTCACACACCCACTGGCCTGTCCGTCACCGGAACGGGCTCGAGCTGGTCGTCGCATCCACATCTTCAAACTCCAGTTCAAACGCGTCCACCTCCTCAAACTTCTTTCTGATAGCAGCCAACTTCTCCGACTGCTCAATGGCTGAGACTTCGGTGGGCTCTGCTTCGTTCTGGTCTGCCGTCTCGTTTTCCTTGTCCGACGAAATCCTGCGACCGTACGTTCGGCTCGACTTCCCTGCTGGTTTTGCTGGTGCAGTCTTCTTGGCGCGACCTGTTTTCTTTGTTGCTTTTGGCGATGCCGGCTTTCCAACCCCCTGCCTCTGACGAACGCGACGTGTTGGCATTTGTAGTTCATCTTGATCAGAGTCCACTTGCTCAATATCATCCGACGAGTCAATCTCAAACTCGTCGCGATCCCGCAAGCGATTGCGCCGACGTGGTAGTAGTTCTTTGAGTTGCGCGGTGGATATGCTCTGCTGTGCCTTCTTCTTCGCCCTCTGCTTAGCTCTCGCAGGTGTCTCAGTTTCCTCGCCATCCGAGTCCTCGTCCATCACGGGTGTCTTGGCTTGTCGTCCTCTCCTGCGTGGTCGCGTTTGCGCTGGGGTTGGAGGCGGCTTTGATACTTCGCGTTCCGGGCTACTTGACATGGGAGGTGCAAGCGTTTCGCTCAAAGGTTCATCGTCTTCCTGTGTCTGGGCGACGACTTCCTCACGTGTCGGCAGTACTTCTGGTAGGCTCGGGGAATGCGACCGCTCCGACTCCACATCTCCGCCAGACTGTGGACTCACTGGTGGTGACGAGCGTGGCACTTGGACTACAGGCGACAGCTTGCGCTTTGTACCACGGGAACCGGAGCTTGAGATCTGAGTGCCGCTATCATTCCGTGTCTCCTCCTCCGGTACCTGTTTCCGCACGTTGAGGGGTGTTGATTCGGCGTGGGGAAGGAAGTCGTCAAAGTCAAAGTTGTCCGTGTTATCCAAGTCGTCTTGGTCGTTGTCCTCCACGTCCGTAGTCTGCTGCACCATGCGCAACAAGCTTGGCTGCCGTGCTCTGCGCTTGAAGTTGGTCAAAGCAAGTATCGATCTCTCGTGTGCGGGCGTCGCGCCGACTTTGATGGCAGATGGCGGACGGGTGCCGTGAGCTGGTGAATTTGAGCCAAGGGAAGAGAATGTCAAGTCGCCATAGCCGCTATCCTCTTCTATCTGCGATTCTTCGTGTGTTGGTTCGGCTGCAGTTGGCGATGTCTGTGCTGCGGACTTCCTGGCACTGCTCCTCGTGGCCCGCGTCCGCTTTGATGCATTCGATGCAGGAGTCCGGTTCTTAGTCGATGGCACAGGGAGGTCTTCTTCAGCGGGCAGCGCGCCAGTCATGGTGAGCTCTGCCTCGTCCTGAGCCTCCGGTGTCTTCTCCCCCAGCAGAGTCCTGCGCGAACGCGTTGTTCTCGATCTGGTAACGAGGCCATCGCTATCTTCGCTGAAACTATTGGCTGCCTCACTGAGCTTTTTTGTTTGCGCTGGGATGGGTTTCGCCGCCTGCTTGCGCGCGGGGGCAGCTTTCGGTTTGGTGGGTTTCGCGACGCGCGACGCGACTTTCGATCGTGGTGGGCGGGGCATTGTAGCAAGGCGCCAGCGCGAGTGTGTTCAGGTATTAGGAAATATGCGCAGGCAATGAGTGTGTTCGCGATCGGATTGATGCGGGCGGCGACCGTGCGACGGGGATGGGGATGAGGCGCGTCGATGTTGTGACGCACTGGATTGAATTCACCACCTAGCGCCGATCTAGACGCGCGAACACTTGGCTCACGTGTCAGCGCATCATCCACGCAGGCTTGTCAGCATGGCCATTGACAACGCGATGACTGTGTTTTCGGCCTATGTAGTGGCTCGCTGAGGCCTAGTGGTATCCTGAACCTGCACGACGTGTTGAGAATGTCCGCAAGGCAACAACGGTTGGAGCGTACATAGCTGCCTTCACAGGCCCCAGATCTCACTTTTCTTGTCCATCTTCACTCACACTCCAGTGGCATCATGAACGCTCTACACTATCCAGATTCGTTGCAAGAATATGCAGTATCTGAAAAGGTCTATCTAGAGCAGCACCCCGAGTACAATTGTCTCGTCACAGGCTCAATTGTGTTCAACAAAGAAGGCAAGCTGCTGATTGTGCAGCGTGCAGCGGAGGAAAGAGCGTTCCCTGATGTCTGGGTGAGTCCATGAGGAAGCTACGAGTCTCACGGTGCTAACACCAAAAAGGAGGTCCCAGGAGGCAAGGTCGATGATACGGACCACACAATTTTGCATGCTGCAGCTCGAGAGCTCAAAGAAGAAGCTGGTCTTGAAACGACCCGCATACTGAAGAAAGTCACGCATTTTACCTTCGTAGACAGGACCACGACATGGCTTAAGTTGGTGTTTGAGATGGAAGTGAAGAACGCCGACACGGTCGTCTTAGACCCAGTCGAGCACCAGAAGTACCTGTATGCATCCGAGGAGGAGGTTGTCAACGACAAGGTGGGGGATGTGGAGCTGAGGTACATCAGCCCTGCAAATAAGGAGGTCAAGCTGGAAGCGTTCAGACAGAAGCGCGAAGAGTGTGTCGCGTAACGGTCGTAGGCGTTGGTACAGTTGAAACGCCTGATGTATATGGGAAAGCTGACTACTTCACGGGACGACTTCCGAGGCCATGTTCAAGGTATCGGCTGGACTTGACAGCACATTTGCGGTCGTGTGAGCAAAGCCAGCCCCTTTAGACCATAGTCTGCATGTGAAAGCGTATCACAAAGTCGAGTTCGCTCATAGAGACGACGATCAGTTGCTTCCCACGCTGTCTCGTCGGTCCGCATATGAAACTGGTGATTGTCGCCAATAGGAGGCGAGCCATATGGTCGGAGAAGTGATCTGGGGTAAGTTGGCAGCCGTGCAACCGAGCAACAAAGAAGGCAGAGTCGAGCCAACGTGACACGGCCCAGAAGCAGCCTAGGTAGCAGTGCAATTTCTGGCGTGTGAGCGAATATCCTGTCTGTCTAGAAAAAGCACGTTTCGTGTCGCAATGGTAATAACTGCCTTGCCGTAGCACCCCGGCGCCCGCGCTAGTTCACACTGTGCGTGCCCCCAAAGAACACGACCATTTGCGGACGAATCACAACCTCAACCCTCGACGACCGCGTCAAAGAGCACAGCGACAGCAGCATGTCGGGCGAACACTCCTTCATGGCCAGCGCCGTGCCCGCAGCAGCAGCGCCGCCGCCGCTGGCTGCGCAACCCAGCATTGGGACTCCGTAGGTTGCAGTCGCGCGCAGCACTCCAGCACATGCTCATACCAGCCAGGCCGTCGGCGTCGTCGCAGTCAGTTCCCCCTGGACACCCGTCTTTCCGGCGGCAACGCGCCAGCCGGGCGTGCGAAAGTGAGTGCGACCCATGTCTTGCCTGTATCTGCGCCCCTGATGGTACGAGGGAGGAGCCATTGCGGTCGGTGGGATATATGGTTCAGCTCGCGAGCCTCGGCACCTCGGTCGGCCTGGAGAACGAATGCTAACCACCACGCATCGCAGCCTGCCACGCGAGGAAAGTGAGTAATCAGCCGCGGAACCGCCGTGCTGCCAGAACGCGACATAACCAGCAATAGGTACGATGCGACGCCGCCTCATTGGGGATCCCATGCACCAACTGCACCGCCTTCGGCATCGAGTGCCGCATCCCCCAGCCCAAGCGCAAGAAGACGCAGACGGCCCGGGCCAAGGATGCAGAGAGGTACGCACGCGACCAACCGCCAGCGTGCTATCAACTGACGCGACAGCAGTGACCGCGGCGACAGCGACGACCGCTCGCCCGCCAGCACCTCCGCTGAGCCCCGCGAGAAGTCGACCGTATACAACACCC